CTATTTGGATAGCTCCTTTAAGCTCGATAAGCAAGTGTCATCTGTAGTTAAATCTGTTTGGTTTTTTTTTAACTGCGCCACATCTCTAAAGCTAAGCATTATATACCACACAGGGACCTGGAAAAACTTATCCATGCTTTTGTAACCTCCAGGTTAGATTATTGTAATTCTCTCTACTGTGGTCTCCAAACCTTCTGTCTTCGAAGGCTGCAACTCGTTCCGAATGCTGTGGCTCGCCTTCTTACTGGAACTAGAAAATTTGACCCTATTACTCCGGCTCTTGTTGATCTACACTGGTTACCAATATCAAATATCGCATTGAGTTTAAAATCTTGCTACTCACTTTTAAAATCCTGAATAACATTGTGCCCAGCTACCTCACTTACCTCCTGTACACTCCTTGTTGCCCATTAAGATCATCAGGTCAATTACTCCAGGCCCAACCTAAGTTTAGACTGAAGACCAGAGGCGATCGTGCCTTTGCTTCAGCTGCACCCAACCTTTGGAATAACCTCGCTGCTTCTATTCGAGCCTTGGACTCTATCCAATCCTTTAAATCAAGATTGAAAGCATATCTATCATGACCAATTAATACCCTTTTAAATCTTTTAAACTTTAAACTTTTAAATTGTTTAAATTTTTTATTAAATTTTATTACATTTATTATTTTATTATTAATTTTACTGCTGTTTTTGTCTTCTTAGTGGATTTTGTATTTATCTAACTCTTCTGGTCTGTTAGTGCCTCTATCCTGTCTGTGCTAGTGTCTGATCTGTACCCTGTTATTGACTTATGTTGATTTTCCATATTACTGTGAAGCACTTTGGTGCCTTCGGGTTTTAAATGTGCTATATAAATAAAACTGTATTGTATGAAATTCTGTTATCCGGGGGTCCGTGCTCTCTTCTGTCTCACACCTCTCTCTTCCTATTGTTATCGAGGCCAACTGAATAAAAAAAAAAAAAACCTTGAGTCATTCCAATTATGATCCTCAATAAAACACATAATAGAGTCTGTATAGAATTTCCTCCTTTGTAGCATCAAAGGGAGTGCAGGAAATGTGATGTGAACAATGTAAGCGCTTCTTTGGATCTATAAGATTAGTTTATTATATGGAGGTCAGGGGCTCTTATGTCTGCTTTTCATCCTGGGTTCTCCCTCTGTCGCCTTCCCCCAGCATATCTTGCAGACTTGACCCGTACCGTCTTTCCTTTTATGTGTCTAATATTAATTTAAGTGCTGACATATCTGTCTGTCTCCTACGACAGCGCGGCCAAGTCAAAGCCAGTTGTTGCGGAGCCAGAGATTCACGGCGGCCAGTCTTTGGAAGGCGTCACAGGCTTCTTGTTGCTGATGTCAGAGGGACTGATAAATGCCCTCGAGTCCGCCCATGGTCCCGAACAGGCTAATCAGGTTAGCAGATTCATTCTGATAAGCTCCTTTCACCTCATTTATCGTCATTCCTTCCTCTTCTTCCTTACTTTCAGTAATATTTTTTTCTTTCGAGTTTTGTTTTCTTGCCTAGTTTGAGTCTATTTCTGTGTCCTTTATTCTCCTAGGCTCCTTTTTCTGTCCTTAGGTCTAATCCTTTTCCTTACTTACATTAACCTTTTCTTTCTCTGACCCCGCTGTCTATTGTAGGAAATTGTTGCCATGGTAGCAGCAGAGCTAGCCCAGCAGACCAGTCTGGAGGCGGTGGCTCAGTCTGTGGTCGATCGGGTCAAGCGGCTTCACCACGATGTGTTCGTGTCTGGCCGTCAGAGGGCGACTTACTGCTCTCGACACGAAGACATGACCCTGCTCATCCGCACGCTCAACTACCCACTGGCTGATGCAGCGCTCACGCCCACACAGGGTAGGATCTGGCATTTAGGCATTGATTCATATCTCAAGGAAAGCACGTCTAAGAAGCGGCGTTCTGCTGTAGCTACACCAACACAGTTTCCACATTTAAAACTTTAGCGAGTTAGTCACATT